CGTCGCTGGCTGGGCTGGCCTGTCCCACGCGCCAGTGAGCCAGGGCACCCGGCGCGCTGCCAGCGGGGCAGGTCAGTACCTGGCAGGACGCGGCGGTGCAGGCGCTTCCACACGGTCATCTTGATGTCGTCTTGGTGGAAACACGGCTTGAAGGACACGGGGCTAAAGATGCCATCACCGGGGTGCAGGCTGGGGAGCTCCGACCTGGAAAGACACGGGCAGCCGTGACACAGGTGACGGGGAGGGTGTGTGACCTCTTCTCACCTGGCTGCCGTGTGTGATGGGGCCACCGGTGTCTCGCCAGCTGCTCTTGCCCTCTTCTGGGGCCGAGTGCATGGCTCTGGCCGTGGCTATCCGTCACAACAGCAGCGTCCACGCGAGGCTGCCCCCAGCAATGCTGAGATGCCCGCTGGCCGGGGACCTCTAGCCCTGGTGCGGAGGCACCGCCATCCCCATTGATGCTGTTTGCCGCTGGGTCCCACCACTCACCTGAACTGGCAGGAGCCGTATTTCTGGAAAACACAAGAGAAAGAGAGAATCGGTGGCGGGAGCCTGACAGAACGGCAGCTCCTCTGCGTGGTCACAGCTGTACACACCCATGTCCTGGGGTGGAGAGGCAAGGGCTCTCCTCTCCTGGGAGAGCTAAGGGCATCACCTCTCGTGGAGGGCAGGTCTCTCCCATCGCGGGAAGCCCTGGCTGGAGAGAGGGCACCTACATCTCGCTTCTCGTGGCGTCCCAGCTGTGCTTGGTGAGGGTTCCCACTGCCCGGGGCAGGGCTCAGGGCTATGAGCAGCAGGCTCAGGGCTGGAGAGCCTGGCTGACTGTCACTGCCTTCACTAGCCAGCGCACTCACCCGGATGAAATCAAGCTGGCTTTCGTTGCCGAGTGCCTCCAGAGAGCTCTGCATCTCCTTAAGCCTCTGCAGGGCGTCTGACGTCTGCTTGACCTGGGACTCAATGGAGGTGATGAGCTGGGCTGCCTTCCCCTCGATGCTCTCCAGGAAGGTGGCCTTCTCCTCGTCGATGTACCTGTGCAGCTCCTGGAACTCCTTCCGGATCACCCACTTGAAGACATCCGCCTCATTCTGCCGGGAGACAGCAAGTGGCTGTGCAGGGCTGCCTCGCTCCATCCCCTTCACCCGCTTTTTGGTTTCAGAGATGCCACCAGCAGTGTGAACGTGTCCCACCAAGCCGCCCTCCACTGGCTTTCCAAATAAAGAGCAGCCCTGTACAGCAGGCTAGATGTTGTTTCACCCTGCTGCCCTCAGCAGCTCACCACCACGACACCCCTGTCTTACACCGCTCCTCCCCTGGATTTTGATTTCCTGATGCCTCAACCAGCTTCATCAGAGCGTTGAAAGAGCTGCTGGATCCCTCTGCTCCCAGCGAACAACCTGTGTCCTGGGCTAAGGGGGAGAAAGTGCAGCTCCAGTTGCATTTGGGTTGAGCCCTTCTGAGGAGCCCCACCGGGAAGCTTTAGCCTCAGAAGGGATGCCAGGAGGTCCTTTGGAGACCTCCATTGCGTGGGAAACGGACACGCAGCTAAACCAGGCATCAGTGTGAAACCAACGGCGTTGCTCTGACTGGGAAGCCTGCTCCGCGTGGGGTCCCTTCCACCCGTTATCTCCCCACCTCCAAGGACATTCGGTCAAAGCAGCTCTGACTGACTGCGCCCTCAGCCAGGGCGCTCGGCGAGGGTTACTTCGCCCCTTCTGAAAACAGGGCTGTGCCACCAGAGAGGGCTACGTCACCCTTCCCGAAAACAGGTCTGTGTTTAACCCCCGAGTTCCGTGGAGAACGCGGACCTCGGGTAACAGGGTGGAAGATAAGCCCTGTCTGCTCTCCCAGGGAAGGGGGAAGAGGAGAGGAGGCGAGCTGGGGAGACCCAGGAGCAGAGGTTGCTCCAGGGGCTGTGTGGGACACACAGGACTCCGGGACACAGGCTCCTTTGGCACGTGACACTCACTGCGATGCGGCTTTTGTTGTTGATGAGCTTGCTGAAGTGTTCGTCCAGGTTCCTCTTGTACTGGTGGACGTCGGTCAGCAGCACAGACAGCTCCTCCTGAAAAGACAGCACCTCTGTAGGAGGGACCTCTGTGGCAGCCTCCTTGATCGCAGGCAGTGCTTGTCAGCCCCTCAAGGAGCACGTGGCCCTGAGAAGCCACGTTCTCCTAAGCTTCCTCTCAGCTTTCGGGGGGCCCTGCATGTCCTGCTGATCTTTACGCTCTCGATCTAGAGGATTTGGGGTTGCCAGAGGCAGGAGAGCGCTCAGAGCACGGCCCCGATCTGGACGCTGCTGACCAAGTACTCTCGCCAGGAAAGATTAAGGTGTGAATGAAGTAAAACAGTTTAAAAATTGCCCAGGTGGGTGAAAGGCAGACATTGCACAAAGTTACAGGAACTCCTCTAGCTAGAGATTGTTGAGCTTTTTGCACCCTCCCAGCGCCTGGAGCCCGGCTGGGGCAGGAGGGTTTCTGGTGCCTCCTGCTCTTATCTCCCCGGTGCCAGGAGCGGAGGGGATGGGTGGCCCCGTGCTTTTCCATTCCCGGGGCTTTCATGTGATGCTGGGCAGGGGACGCCAGCTGTTTACTCTGCCTGGCCGGGGCTTCTGTTTCCCTGCCTCCCTGCTCTCCTGTAGCACCTCGCCTCAGCCCTTATCTCCAGACTCTTTTTGATGGTGTTTGGAAACAGTCTTGAAAGGCTCCGCCAATGCTCTCGGGCCCCTGGCTCTCTCCACCACAGTTCAGCCACCAAAACCCCGAGCCCTCTTCAGCTGGGGACGTGCTCAGCCTGAGAAACGGCTGCCCCCCAGCCCAGGAACCCTGCCCCAAATCTGGCTGTGCCGTGGGACCCTGCCTCCCCACGCTGGCATCATTTCCAGCCCGTCCCTCGAAGGAGAGGGGACACGTGGCCAGCAAGGTGTGCAGGTGCCCTAACCCCCACCCCAGGAGCCCTGGCCAGCTCTGCCTGACAACCTTCATCCGGCAGTACGCGGTAGAGATGGGGGTGATCTTGTGCCGGCGGGGGGTGGCTATGGGTGCCGACAGATGGTGCCGCACAGCCCGCAGATCACCTCTTGGTCGGCCTCGCAGAAGAGGCTGAGGGGGTTGTGGTGCGTCGGGCAGGACTCTGGGGCGGGCTCTGCCTCACCCCGGCTCTGCAGCGCCTCGATGACGCGGGCCAGCGTGACGTTGGGTGGCGAGGCGCTGCAGTCCACAGTTTGGCGGCACACGGGGCACAGGAACTGCCCGTCCAGCTCTCCAGAGAGTGACACCACGCAGGACTTGCAGTACGAATGCCCACACTGCAGCATCAGGGGCTCCTTGAAGACCTCCAGGCAGATGGGACAGAGGAGCTGGTCCTCCAGCTCGTCGATGCTCATCCTCCGAGCCATCCTGCCACCTTCCCACACAGACCTGGCCAGGGAAACACGGGTGGGAGATCAGTCCTGTTCCAAGAGCGAGATAAGCGGAGATGAGTGAAGACGGAGCTCAGCACCTGGGGAAGGCGAAACAGAGGGAC